TCACAAAAAATTTATAGAAATCACACCCATATCTAATATGCTTTATTTCTTTTATGCAAATGTGAATGTTGTAGTTCACTTATTACATAGGTTTAGTAATCATTACTTTGCAAATCTTAGCACCTTCACTATAAAATACTTTTAAAATAAGATGATAAAATTCGAGTGTGTTATGGATTACATGTGATTTAGGATTTATTGCGCAAGTGATAGCTCCCACTCATTTTTCATGATTTGAGATCTTCAACTTGGCAACCTACAATCATCAATGTTCAACATCGAACTATCCATCAAACAACTTCCTTATTATTGCCTTAAAGGCAACAATGCTCTCAACTAGGGTTGTTCATCGGTCCAAGACCGAACCGGACCAGCCCAACCTGGACCGAATACCAAAAAATTAGAAGTTTATGAATCAAAGACCGGACCGATGAAGCTAGGACCAAACCCGAACAAGACCGAAAGAATCGGTCCAAAACCCGAACCGAACCGCTTTGGACCGATTTAAGAATTTTTAAAAAAAGAATTCTAATTTTTTTAAGAATTTTATGGAAAACTCAAAAAAGTATAGGAAAATCTACACTTATAACATCTTTTTTTTGTATATTTAGTACAAAAAAGCTCATAAATTTAAAGTTTTCTAAGCTTATTAAGGATAATCTTAACTATTATTTAAGGTTTCACGCATATTTGTAATCAAAGAAATCTGTCCGGTTCAAGACCGATTTTTATAGGGTTTTGGATCGAACTTGACCCAAGACCGGAAAAATAAATTTTAGACCCAAAGACCGAACCAATTAATTTCGATCCGGTCCGGGTTGATCCGAGGTGGTCTGGTCCATTTTTTCGGTCCGGAATGATTTATGAACCCCCCTACTCTCAACATATACTTTAGTAGACTTCCTAATGATGCTTTGTTTGGATTTTACTCCAACCGGCTCACAACGATTTGAGATACTCTAAACATTTGTGATCATGGAAAGTTACCTTAACTTTCTGCACATTACATATGGAAACAAGTCCATGTTGCCATTCTCCAGCACGACGCATTAATCTTGTGCTTATAAATGGCTTCCGTGCTAAGGATCTAATCCTTGTTAAGGTTGTGCTCGCAACAACAACACTCAAATTATATTTGTTTCCATGCATCATGAACTCATCCTCTTACTTAACCAAATACCTTGAATGTTCTTGATCATAATCTAACGATCCATTACTTAGATTTCAAGTCGATCATTACTTTATGTTTGTCATGCTCTAAGAATGCAAGTCATGTGATGATTCCATATTGTAGCATACATGATGGATTCAATTTTAGGACTATTCCCAATTTGATCCCAGTCGTGTGACTTTTGGCTCATCTAGTTTCACCGAGTCTTGCTAAATTGTTTGCTATATGTTACGACTGAAAGTCTTTATTATAGACTTTCATGCTTGATTTAGTAGTTTTCCTAGCTTATACTTAATTCAAACATTTACTTATTTCTTATGCATATGGGTCGAAAGCCTTTTCAAATCCTTCATATTTCACACGGTAAATTCCTTTACTCTTTCAAACATTTTATTAATTCTATCTAATAGATCTTAATTCCCACTATGTACTAAGTATCTCCTTGGCTTGGTCCATTATTAAAAAATACTTTCAAATTTATCATTTTTGGTTTTCAATTTTGTATTTTTTTTGAAAACCAAAAACTAAAAACAGGAAACAAGAAAAAGGTGTTTTCATTTTTCTATTGTCAGTTTTCAAAAAATTATCATGATTTTAATAAGATTAAATAATTTTTGATTCATTACGGGGCATATATCATATAATTTTAAAAAACAAAAAACCAAAAAAACAGAATACCACAAAAATGCCAAACGAACCCCAATTTGATAGTCATTTTACAATAAAGTTCGTAAACTTCTTGTTGGACCATACAAAATTGACATTTGCTCCCACTAAACTTCTTAACTAACATAATTTCTATGTTTCTCAATAAGCCAATTTTTTTTAACTTTTCGAAAAAACATATTTCAATTCCTACATGCAACCCTTAATCCACTTATGGATTTCTTAAGCTTGTTTTCAAACCTAGCATTATTTAGATTTACAAAGCCCTTAGACTATATTCATAGTTTCTTCCAAAATTTCATTTTGGAAAGGCGGTTTTGATATCAATTTTGCTTGCCATATTTCATATGCGCAATCATTGCTAGAATAGTCACAAAAAGACTTAAGCATTCCAATCAGTGAATAGATTTTATTAATTTAACGCCGTGAATTTAATTGTAACCTTTTCAAATAATCTAGCTATAAATACATATACATTTCCTTTATTAGTTTTCTCTAGACCTAATCAAACCTTGGGCCGAACCGGGCCGATACAACTTTCTCTTGCCCGTGTATGCAGGAAATGCAAGCCCAAATAGAATTATGATGTAAAGCGTTTGTTAAGCCTGTAATTTCACACATTAATGATGATGATGATGTCATCATCTTCATGATAATAAGCCACCTCAAACAAGTAACAATTTGTAATATCTATTCTCAAAGCGATACAAGATTTATTGTGGTTCCTAATATACTACACTTTTCCCTTAAATTTGTTGATAACTTTAAATTTTGTACGTTTTAGTGTGTGTTAGCCTACTCTATTGATATGATTTTAAGAAACGATTGTTATTGTAGTTTATTTTAATGTTGTACACATGTTCTATTTCAGGCCGGGCCAAGGCTGCACACGGGCCAGATGTACTGCACCCCGCCCACAAAATATTCGGGCCTACACTTGCTTGCCAAAACCCAAATTTCGAGCCTAAACGTACTGCCCAAACCCGGGAAAAATCCAGGCCGGGTTAGGCTAGGTCAACGGGCTGGGCCAGACTTGATCAAGTCTAGTTTTCTTCTTGAAAACGTATATGCATTTGATGGGTTTTTACCCTTCATGAAAATTAATCAAGTTTCAAACATGGTTTTCAAACATGGAGTCTATTTTTAGATTTTATGGCCTATAACTATTTTTGGAATTTGGATTTGTCGTAGCTTTCTTACAAGATTATATTCCCTTACTATCCAATAGTAAATAGTGTACTTGTAAGTGTTAGGTTCATTTCTAACTTAATAGAAACTTTATAGGATTTAATTATATACCTATACAGAGTAAACTGCATCAAACACTGAGTTTCAAGGCGCTTCTAAAACCCTTTGATTATTTTGATCTTACTCCAATACTTTTAAAGTTTTGTGAGTAATGAATTCTCTTTGAGGCACTTGTAAAGTCCTTTTAGTATTCATGATCAATTATTCTCATGAAGTCCTTCTATAGACTTACTCCAAAACTTTTAAACTTTTGTGAGTAATGAATTCTCTTTAAGGCACTTGTAAATTCCTTTGAGTATTCTTGATCAATTATTCTCACGAAGTCATTCTATAGACTTTTGAGATTCTCAGTTCTAGTTTATTTCTCATCTCGATTGTCCTCGAGTACATTTTCCTACTACTTGTCGTTGTGGAAATGTGTTACTTTCCAGAAAGACACCACTTCGAGCAACAAGTTCTATGTTCTCATTTTGGTTGTGGAAATAATGTCCCTTGTCCCACTTGAATGCTTTACAAAGAGATATGTATATTGTCTTTGGGTAAAAGTTCGTTGCAAAACAAACATTTTGCTCCCTCCTAAGCTTTCTTAGCCCTTTTGAGCCACTTAGCTCCCACTGAGCCAATGAGCTTCCATTGATGCTAAGAGCCCTAGACATATACTTGAAAAGACGTTAGAAAATATTTCTATCCATAACTTAATATGGTGTCCTTTATTAGCTTCAGCAATTTTGTTTAGTGTAACATTAGTCAGTGGTGTATATCTTTAAGAACATTATAGGAAGGGATGTGATCCATCATTATTACAATCATTTTGTAATGGTTTGAGGTCTCCTTCAAGACATGCTATACTCTTTGTGGAGTTGATTATGAAATTCCAATTTTATAACCTTGAGATGATCACTCTAGGTTCAAGAAAATATCACTCGATCTAATCTAGACGTTTGATATCTTGCCAATTTGATTTTATACTTCACCGAACTTTTGAGCAACTCAAGATAAAGTTTGTTCACATTTGATGAATATAGCCATATTCTTTCAAAATCTTGTGAAAATGTCGTTGAAGTAATGGAATCCTTTTTAGCTTTCGGAGTCAATTTTTTATACCAAGCACAATAGCTCCACTAGTGGAAAAATGTCTATTCGTAATGGACAAAAATAGACTATCTGTAACGGACAATGACCGTTACGTATGTGGCCGTTACGGATAACAATGTTATTCGTAACGGGCACTTACGATGCCCATTATGAATAACTACTTATTTGTAACGGGCACTTATAATGTCCGTTACGTATAAGTGCCCGTTACAAATAAGTAGTTATTCGTAACGGACACTTATAATGTCCGTTACGAATAAGTAGTTATTCCTAACGGGCACTTATATTGTCCATTACAAATAACTATGTATTCATAACGGACTATAAAATGCCCGTTACAAATAATATCTGACTAAGACAAAAAATTAGGGGCATTTGTAACTAGCACCTGGAATGCTATCCGTAACGGCCACATACGGATAGTTACAAATACCCCTATTCTACTTTCCATTCACTACTACAGTTTCCGTATTTTATGGACGCTTTTCTCTCGACGTTGTGGTACTAGCGTCAATGTATGGATTTATATTCCTCTTATTGTCGACGCTTTTTCAAGTCGAAGTCATTTTGGACACTAAAAAGCATCGACAAAGTCACATGACCCGCACGTGACTATTTTTGGTTGCCCGCGATTTCAATTTTTAAGGAAAAAAAAGCGGGGTTAGAAGAAATAAGTGCTAGGTCAGTCATCAGTGAATTGCGATTGCAAATTTGCTACATCCATCGTTCTCCACTCAAATTCTTCACCCAATTCGTTCTGGAAATTGTGGGAATTTTCTTCTTCAACATGTCAAATTCATCGATTTATAGAGGTAAAACTTCTTTCTTTTCCTTAATCTCTGGTTCGAATTTCATCTATGGTATAGTATAATGTTCGATTTCTCATGTTGTTTGTTTAATCTCTGGCTGAAATCGGAACATCTTTGCCCTTATACGGTTTTGAATTGAAGGAGAACAAGAATCGCGCGATACTTCGAAGAATTCATTGACGGTGCATCAAGTAATTTTCTGCACTTAATTAGATACAATTACTTAAACGTTTTTCAGTTCATAATTTGCGCTTTCAATTTCCAAATTTGTTGTTCCTCAATTTTTCCTTTTTTTTAATTAATAAAAATGGGTCGTGAGTATTCTGAAATTTATGGCGATTTTTATGGGTTTTTTGTTTGGATTTTCTGAATTTTTTCAGCCTAAGAGCAAGATTAGCCCTAGGTATTAAAGCTATACATGACATCAGCAAATCACTTTTAAATTGTCTTAAGACAAGACTTCACAAAATTTATGCATTTATGAAGCAATGTCTTAACAAATTCTTGAATGGAGTCTTGAAATTCAAGACCCAACTTAAGACTCATTTAATACTTTATACTGTATTTTTTTCTATATACGTATAATAAAGCACAACTTTTTTTTTGAAAAATATTATTGTTTAAAAATAATTTAGTTTAATTTTATTGAAAAAAAATGTAAAGTGTAAATTTAATTGTAATTGACTGTTGTATTTATTTTTTTTTAATAAAATTGTTTGTTGTATTTTTAATATAAATTATTCCATTATTTGCTATTTTTTGTTGTATTTATATTAATCTAAAGTATTCTATTATTTGCTATTATTTTCATCAACAAATTTAAATTATAAGAAAATGTAAATTTTATGGCTATGGTATTATGTATATATAATTCATGTAATTTCATTATTATTTATAATGTTGTTTCTAGTGGTTTGATATTTTTTTCAGCTATATAAGATATGTAACTTACTACACCATTGGAAATTGTACTATTAAAATATAATATATATAAAAAAGTGAAAATTACAATAATACGTATTTAAGAAATCTTAAATGAGTATGAGGAATAAAGATCTAAATTTAGTTTAATCTTAAGGAGTCTTAACATAATTATAAAATAATAAAAAGTTATTAAAATATGATGTGACATGGGAAAAAAATCTTAAGATAAGACAGGGCTAATCTTGCTCTAAGGTAAAGGTTTCATCAGTAATTGTTTAGTTTAGCTTAATTTCCCCTTTTAATTTTACCTAATTTTCAATAGATTCGCTATAACTCTGGGAACCGATTTAATAAAAATGTTTTGGGTTTTGTCAATTTCTCATTATTATATGCCTGTTCTGCCAATTTCGATTCTGTTCTGCTTAATTTTGTTGAAATTTCGTGGCTAAATCTATACTGCCTAATTCCTATACTTCCTAATTCCTACTGTATTTTTACCAATTTGATCTATACTGCCTAATTCCTACTGTATTTTTACCATTATAATACTTGCATTTATTTTTGCACCCATGGATTTCGAACACTACTCTCTGAAGTAAAGGCTGAACGTTGGTATTACACATGCAATTGAAAATTAATAATTCTTAAGTCTGTCTGAAAAATAAACTCAGAGTAACACAATAGATCTAGCCTAATATAGAGGGATAAATAGAACTTTTTTGGCCTATATGGTTGTCTTTGAGATGGAAAGAGTAGGGCAGTGTGTCTTATAGAAACCAAATCTAGAGGAGTGAAATTATTGAAATATATTAAAGTGAGCTATGTTGTGACCAAGCTTTTGTGTTTGTTTTGTCTTGCAGAGATCAAACGGTTCACCTTTACGTGGAATTGAGGAGAAGTTTTCATACGTAGTATTGAGACGAGGAAAAAGACCGCAGTGAGTATTTTATGCTCAAGCTTTACACTTGCAATTAAATTTAATTACGATATAGTGATATACTACTATAGTTATTTTTGCTCTACTCATTATAGATTTGTTTTTTAAGAAAACTTTGAAAAAGACGATTGGGTACAAGATAAAGTAGTCATTTTTATATGAAGCTTTGCTATTCTACGTTTTCCTATAACTTGCAAAGTGCATACCCAGTAACCATATCCATTTGAGGTGTCTGATATCTTGATCTGTGCCAAGACATCAGACACCTCAAATGGATATGGTTACTGGGTAACAATGGTCCTATATACCCTTGATCATATTGCCAAATTGTTGTTGTTTAGAAAATTTAGTTGCCTCTCGGTCAATCTTTTTGTCGATTGACTGATGTGTCTGTAAAGTTGACTCACCTTAAGGTTTAAGTTCTCTTGAACGACAAGTCTTTTCTAATATAACTAGGCCCCTGTGACACTGCTATGTTTTTCATTACTATTTGTAGGCTTTTTGTGCAATCAAATTGTTCAAATTGGGTTGGTTGTTGCTGTTAGTTACTACACACTTTGTGTCTGACCTGTAGCCATGAAGAGGTGCTATAATAGTGGAATGTATTGCAGACTGTTGTAAATCTTTTATTCACACAGTAAATGCATTAAAAATCAAGATAGGAAAAAGTCCAATCTGAGTTTTACATGTGGCTTTAAAATGGAGGATGTTATTTTGTTATGAAAATTTTAAACCCTAAACAAATGCTTTGATGCAGTTCCCTTATAATTACATCATAGCTTGCAATTCTTGGAAGCTTTCATTCCATTGGTCACATTAGTGGCCGATCTAGTAATGAAATTGAAATCTGTTGGGTAGGGTAGACCATATTATTGACAACATAGTGAATTAGGAAACCTAATTTATATGTTCTATACTGAGGTCTTTTACTTGCATTGTCATCAACATTCCAGGATTTCTAAGGACTTTTTCCTTGTGAATTAGACTGATGATTCTCTTTTTTCGAATACTTTATGCTTCTGATCCTTAACTGTATTTTGACTAAATGAACTAATTTGATTTTTTGACCAAATGAACTAAAAATACAAGAGAAAAGTTGTTAAGTGTCACAAAATGAGAATAAAAGCTAAGGGGATGGCGTTGATATAGAACCTAATGCCTCGTCAATCACCCATGATTCGAGACACAAAGAGTTGGCCAGTTTCATATCGAGGGATAAGGCTCAAAGCTGTCAGTCCAATACCGGGAAAACCATATTGTTTTTAAACACATAATAATACTTAAAGTTGTATGGCAGCTAATTAATGATAATGTTCCTATCCTCCTCAATAAATAAATATAGTATAAAATCATATTGTTTTTAAACACATAATAATACTTAATTATCCATAACGCCCAGCTTATTCTGTATTTCTGTTATTAAAAAGCCTTGAACGGCTGTAATGCGAAAGTGTAACCTCCTCTAGAAAAGAATTAGTAGCCTAGTAGGCATGGACTTACAATAGACCTCTCAGCAACCATATGATGTGGCAATCGCCTCAGTGCTCCATCAATATTGTTGCTTTCCTTGTATTGTTCCCGAATCTTTCTAGCAGCTTCCCTTTGTAAAATCTCAGTCAAGGAAGACTCAGGTTATTTACTATGTACTGTAAATGAAAGAAGTTCACAAGATAAGTCTAGTCAAATATAAAAAATTAATGCAAGGATATCTCCCTCCTTAGGATCAAGAATCATATTAATTGCAGCTCTTAGTCAAATATTTCATCTATTTTCTTTTCTAGATGGGTTAAAAGACATTAATAAGTGAAATTCAACCATGGACTCTTAGTTCTCCATCAGGATCCTTTCAACTAAAATGTGCTAACCAGTTGTGCAAACTATTTCTTTTCTGATAGAATTTTATGTATTAATTTTTTGTGTGTGCTCAGTGTTCTAACTTATTCTTGTATTATCTGATATCAGAGAGATCTCCAAAACGAGAAGCAAAAAAGTGTATATGCTAGTTCTGTTAATGAGAAGTTGCTGTATGAATGTTCAATTCTCCAAAAACGGCTTGAAGAATCAAGTGTAAACTTCCTGGTTGAAGAGGAAGACAAATTAGTTCTGGATACTTCACCATCAGATGCTATCGATCTTCTTACCACGTCTGATAATCGAATTGATCTTCTTCTGGCTGAGGTACAATGCCTTTTCATGTTTACTTCATTTTCCGTATTATCTTAATTAAGGTGATCGTTAACACCACCTTCCCTAGGGAACCATTGCTAATCTGGAAAAAATCATAAGCATGCATGGATTTGTTTAGCTTAGAGCAGTAGGATAAATTGTTGCTTTAATCGCTATTGGAAGAACCTATGGTGGTTGTGATATAATTTAAAGTCCCAAAATGCGTGTGCTGAGTTTTTTCCAAGTGATGATTATAATTTATTAGTGGATTGGAAGCCCTAGCACTTCAGAACAGATGAAAATTTATACATATACCCGGGTGCAAGATGCACTAAGGTTTTTTTTTTTTTTTGCTAATTTGATGATTCAAACCATCCTTTAATATAATCATCAAGTTAAGCAAAAGATACCTTGGGTGCACCGTGCTTTGTAAACCCTGGTGTATATAAGAACTTAACTAGTAAAATGAAAAGACCCTGTTCGCAAAAACAATCAAATTTTTCAGAAGTGGAATTTATTTCATGATTGTATAAACTAATGCAGTACGTGCTATTCCATATTTTGTATGGTTGTATATCCTCGTGTTATGTGCCAGTGAGCTAATATATGGATTCTCTACTATAAATCTGTAACCCTATACTTTTCCCTTTGCCTTCTATTGTCTCTACCTTCTAAGCCTTGCCTTCCCTGACTTTCGTGAGAAATAATGCAGAAGCACAGAAAAGCAGCAGAAATACCTGTAGACCAAAATAGTTAATGAATCCATGCTTTCCAAGGCATCAGCAGATGCTTTGATAGTGTCTTCAAAATCAACTGCCATACATTATCATGATTTATGCCAGTTTCAAAATGAGAATAAAAGCTAAGGATCAGAACTCTCAGAAGCGAGATTTATTAGTGGCTTGCTGAATGAGCTAGTCAAAGATTTATTTTGCCGTCCTTGTTTCTGTTATTGTTGGATATCATGTTATTCCAATTCTAATATGTTGCTATTTATTCATTGTTTTTATATCAATTTAGATATATTGATCTTTTTGCATAAATTATCTTGCAGTGTTATATATAGTACAAGATGACTTATCGAAGCAAGAGAGCAAGGGAAATACTTGCTGCCACAGCTAAGTCACAAGATCCAAAATCATCACAGTCACCAAATACAACTGCATCTAAGTTTCATGATCCACTATCATATGTAAGTGAATTTGCTTCCAAACCAACCAAAAAACAAGTTGTTCAGTCACCACTAGTTGAGGTTCTTAAGAATGATAAGTGGGGGCCATTTTTTCCACTTTATACAACTACAAAATGCACACAACCACACCTAGCAAACTAGGATCTATTTAGAAAAAACCTCCACCTATTGTACCACATTCAAATAAACTCAACTCCCTTAACAACCCTTTAGCTTCCTCTCCTACTTCTCACCCACCACTTCAGCATCCTCAACCTGGGAAGGGAGGTTCTTAGAACCTTGGTACTAGTGCTGTTGAAAACTTTGGCATCAACTCCTATTTCTCACCAACCACTTCAGCATCCTCAACCTGGAAGGGAGGTTCTCAGAACCTTGGTACTAGTGCTGTGAAAAACTTCGGCAGCAACTCCTATTTCTCACCAACCACTTCAGCATCCTCAACCTGGGAAGGGAGGTTCTAAGAAAACTTCAGCAGCAACTCCACAGTTTAATCAAACACATCAAAAAAGTGATGAAACTTCCAATGATATCTCGAAAAAAAACTAAGTCTCTACAACCAAAGTCACTTGCCGATTGGCCTGTAGACATAGATTTTTGATGATAAAGGAGGAGGTTTTGACCATAGGTAATCTTTTTACCTTAATTATTTTTTTTTACTTTATCATTGAGATTCTGTGTGTGGTTACATAAAATAGATGAGTATTAGTTGCATGGTGTTAGTTAAAAGCAAAATTAGTTCTTCAAGAGCCCTAAATCATGTTTTTCAATTAGTAAACTAATGGTTTTTTATTTTATTGTTTTTGTAGACGCCAATGGTAATACTACATTGGTGAGTGGTATAATTCTGCCAATTGACGTTTGGAGCAATAGTGACCTCAAGTACTATGTTGAATTCAATGATCTATGCCAACCGATTAGGAAAGGTGGACATATATTGGTTATATTCATTGGTATGATTGCAAAGATGGAGACTCATTGTCCACTTGGAGAAAAAAAATTGGCATGCAATCGACAACCATATAAAAGGAAGGATAGTTACGGATATGAGAGTAAGTACATTGAACACTAGCTTTGCATAAAATATTCTGATCAATTATTAGCTTTTTTCAAGTAAGACCAGTTACAAGTTACTTACAAATTTCATAATGTCTTAATAATTAGGACCACTTTGTGATTCCTAATGGTGTGGAATATGACAACCAAGCTCTCAAGCGTGCCAATAAATTCTGAAGACAGTTCAGATTCTCTTTTGAAAAAAAGAGCATTACAAGCCATATGAGAAAACAGTGGAAGAGATGTGTAATCAGGAACCACCGCATGGAATAAGCAGGAACAATTGGGTAAAGTTTGGTGAAGTACTGGGATTCAGAGAAAGCGAAAGTAAACAAAATATTCACTACCACTAATATATTAAGTTTTAATTAGTCTTGGTTGAATTATTTGACAAATACTAATTGGTTGAATATGAGTGCAGAATTTGTCTATAGCTGGAAAAAAGCACGAGCCTTCGTAAATCAGCTTCACAGATCTAGCTCTTATAGCTTTGGCAAACCAACAAGCTGATTATGTATGGATTAGTTATATATGTGGCCTTTTATTTAACTTAAAAGAGTGTTAGTCTCAAAAAAATATAAAATCAAAATAAATAACAATATAGATTTGTAGCATAAATAAGCTAATAAAGTACATATTAAATGAATATAATTCTTTCTCTTATTCATATACATTGTGTTATTTATGATGCATTCTCATTGACATTGTCGATTTCTCTTACAATGCTCTTTTTGTCATTATTGTTAATAGGAAGATGAACATGGAGAAAAAATGAGCTTATTATCTCTTTGGATAAAAGCTCATACGGGTAAGGACGGAAGCTTTCTTCCCGACACCGTCACTGCATATTTTGTGTATGATTCCTGACATAGTCACTGTAGAAATTATGAATTAATAAAGTTCAAGTCATTGCTCTTGTTGTTGGTTATGCTAGATGGTCTGCTAAATGTGTGGCTCTGTTTTAATCCCCGTGTTCATTACTTAAACTTGGTACAGGATGATGTAAACGCTAAGGTTGAAGAGTTGAGGATGTTGTATCCTAAAAAAGACACAACAAGAGCTCGAAGATGAAGCTTTTCACTATACCATGTAGGGGTGATAATGAGACTGAGCTATTCGTGAACTGTTCGAACTCGATTCGGTCAAAGCTCGGTTCGACGAGGCTCGACTCGAGTTCGAGTTCGGCTCGAAACCTTAACAAACTGAGCCGAGCAAGTTAAAGCTCGGCTC